ACCAATACTGCCTTTTGAGGTCTTGATACATCTTGGTACTCCCAGGGTGAATAGCAAACCTCGATTTGTGAGCCTCGTGAAGGATTGTCTTCTTTATCTCATCCACTTGAGGAACGGCAAGGCGATTCTTGAAGAGAGCGTTCCATCTTCCCGAATATTCCATTCGTCCAGTTTTTCTCCATTCTGAACTCGAGTCCAAACTCCTTGAAGATGTGAATCCTGCCATTGGTTCTGCTTGACTTGCTGTATTAGAATTGGCATTGAAACCAAGTTGTACACCATAGCTTGGTTAGAATCCTCATAATACTGAAGATCATAGTCGCCTATAATTGTACTCCGTTTTCAATCTTCTAATACCAAAGAAGCTAGAATTCCTGGAGTCTTTCTGCTGAGAGCGTCTGCTACTATGTTGGCTTTTTCAGGATGATACTGCAAGGTGAAGTCATAATCCTCCATATATTCCATCCATCTTCTTTGTCTCAGATTTAAGTCCTTCTGAGTGAACAGATACTTTAGACTCTTATGATCGGAGAAGATTTGGAATTTTACTCCATAGAGGTAGCATCTCCATATCTTGAGAGCAAAAATCACTGCTGCTAATTCTAGATCATGCGTGGGGTAGTTCTATTCATGTGGCTTCAGTTGACGAGATGCATAGGCCACCACATGTCCATTTTGCATCAGAACACACCCAAGTCCTCGTCTTGATGCATCAGAATACACCTCATACGGCTCATCGCTATTAGGAATTGTCAAAATCGACGCACTGGTTAGCCTAGTCCTCAGTTCTTGGAATGCATGTTCACAATCGGCATCCCATTCAAACCTGACTTCCTTTTTAGTCAACCGAGTCATTGCAGCAGCAATACTCGAGAAATCCTTTACAAATCGTCGATAATACCCCGCAAGTCCTAGGAAACTTCAAATTTCGGCAACGTTCTTCGGTTGTTCCCCTTGTAGCACCGTTTCAATCTTTGCGGGATCCACTGAAATTCCTTGTCCAGATATAACATGTCCAAGGAACTTGACTTCTGTCAACCAGAAATCACATTTCTCCTTCTTTGCATAAAGTTGGTGTTCTCGAAGAGTCTGGAGAATGATCCTCAAATGTTGCTCGTGCTCTTCCCAAGTCTTTGAATAAACCAGGATGTCATCAATGAAGACTATCACAAACTGGTCTAAATATGGGCGGAAGACTCGATTCATCAAATCTATAAAGGCGGCAGGAGCATTCGTTAATCCAAAAGGCATTACTAAGAACTCATAATGCCCATAGTGAGTCCTGAAAGCTATTTTTGGAATATCATCTTCCCTAATCTTCAACTGATGATACCCGGATCTCAAGTCAATTTTTGAGTAATACCGTGATCCTCCCAGTTGATCGAACAACTCATCGATCCTCGGTAATGGGTACTTGTTCTTCACGGTAACCCTATTCAACTGTCGGTAGTCTATGCACAACCGAAGGGATCCGTCGTGCTTTTTTGCAAACAAGACAGACCCCACGGGGATGTGCTGTTTCTAATGAATCCTTTTTCTGCCAACTCTCTGAGCTGTTTCCTTAGCTCTTTCATCTCCGCGGGCGCCATTCGATACAGAGCAATATAAATCGGAGCCGTCTCCGGAAGTAAGTCGATACAAAACTCGATCTCTTGATCAGGTGGTAAACAGGCAACTCATCAGGGAATACATCCGTATATTCATCGACCACGGGGACCTCAACATTCTCCCCGGAGATACCGGATTCACCCTCTAATGCCGAAAGGAATGAGAAACAAACTAAATTCCGCCGTCCTCCAACACTATGCCTCAGTAGTCATTCTTCTGTAACTGGGTTAACACCTCCCTGATACGTTACTGTCGTGCCAGAACCGGTAGTCAAGGTGACTCTCATACGGTGGCAATCAACAATCGCCCCATATCTTGACAACCAATCCATTCCAAGCACCACATCAAATTGATTTATGGGAAGGATTATCAAATCTGCCTTTAATTTCTCACTTCCAATCGTGATCACACACGACCTACAAATGCTAGTCACCTCCACACGTCCCAATGGAGAACTTATAAACATTGAAGTCTCTAAGTCATCGGGTTTCAAACCTAAAATTTTCACAAAAGTAGTGGAAACAAAAGAGTGCGTAGCACCAGTGTCGAACAAAACTCGTGCAAAAGAGTGAGAGATAGGTACCATACCCTCGACGACTGGGTTTCCGGCATGAGCTCCAGAACTTCCCCCGGCCATGGTATGCATCTGCCCCGGTGCTTTCCCTTTTCCTCTTTCGTTGTTGTTAGGCCTCT